AGGCCAGTGGTAATGAGGAGGTAAAGGAGAGGTGAGCTTCAAGAAATTGAGAGAAGGACAAATCAGCAGGACTTAAGGATTTCTTGGATTTGGGTAGTGAGAGAGGAAAGCCAAGAAGAGGCCCAGATTCCTAGTATGGGTGACGAGGTGATGCTACCTAGTGAGATCAGGAACAGGAGGCGGTATTAGTTTGGGCTTAGGGGTGAGGAATTCCATTTTGGACACGGCCATTTGGGGTGTCCAAGGGACATCTGAACATATAGTCCTGGGACTCAGGAAGGGTAGACCTAAACTAGGGAGGGTCACCAGGAAGGGGTGGGTGGCCTTGCCTTTGTGCCAGTTTGCACTGCACAGGGGAACATAAGAAACTCAAATCCATACAGAAGTACTCCTTCCTCCCCCCAAAACAGAAACCTGGGGGAATGAGAAGAATTTGAGACAAATGAAGATAATACTAATTACCATTTATGGTAGCATAGCACTAAAAACAAACATACTTAACCGGCTCAATTAGTAGCTACTTCTTATTGTCCCAACTTTACAGGTAAGGGAAATGGGTCTTAGGCAAAGGTGTTTAATTAAAAGCCAGAGAGAAAAAGGCATTGCTGAGGTCACACCGTCAGTTAGTAGTAACAGAGTCCACGCTTTCTTCACCACACCAAGGAAGCCTGCCAGCCTTCTGGGTCTGCATGTCCACCCGGGGCCCTCTAGGGACTCTAGCCTGAAAAACGCGATTAAAGGGGGCTTGATAGGTGGTTTTCCGTATAGAGAACCTTACGTTCCCAGGCACGTTGCTGCCTCTGAACCAGCGCGGGTATTTCAGCACCATGGTCAGTGGCGCACAGCAGTCCGTCAGGAGCCGGTGCTGGCCGGGTTAGCCCGGAAGGCACCCTCTCCGCGGACTTGGCCCCTCGCGTCGCAGAAGCAGAAGAGACAGACAGGAGCCTGGAACCTCTCCAGCGGTCGGGGTTTGGAGGTGGGGTTCAGCCAAAGAGTAAGGGAGCCCAAGGACAAGCACAAACTGCAACTGCCTTGGCTCAGAGAGCTCTAAGCTGCTGGCTCAGAGCCAGGCTCACGGTCCCAGCTTTGCTTCAGTGACTCACCGGGCGATCGAAGGCCTTGGGAAAGTCACCTACTTCCGAGACGGTGGGTCTCTGTTTCCCTGCGTGTGGCCACCTGCCTTGCCCCGAGAGGGTGCCTGAGAGACGAAGTGTCCAGCCTCAAGCCTCCCACTGCCTGCTCTTGGCCCCTTGAAGGCATAGCTGACAGGTACAGTTAGCGAGTGTCCGCTGCTTTATTGAGCACTGTCTGCAGATATATTTAAAAGGGGGTGGGGGTGGGGGGCACAGCAGAGAATATGAATTACATGAATGTGAAAATGTAGTTATAATATACCTGTGCCACATTCTCAGCCGCATGTCCCCACACCCTCCCCGTACACTCCCCAGTACCAGGTTCTGAAGGGTCTTTTCCGTGCCTCCAGGTCTGGGGGACTGTAACTCAGAACCCAGCCCGCACGGCCTTCTCTTAGGTGCCCAGAAATCCAGGGAAAAGGTATTAGGGAACTTCTCAAGTGAATTAGCTGAGACTCAAAGACTTGTCCAAGGTCACAAAGCCGGGCAGAGTGGCCCCTAGGGGAGAGGAGGGGCCTGTGGGGTCGCGTGCGCCTGGGGCCCCGCCTGCCTTTGTGCCAGCCCCGCGGCCTGGCTCTCAGACATTAGCATTCCAATGGCCCCCGGTGGCTTTGTCCTCCTGCGGAGGGCGGTTTGGGGGTGGGGTGGGATGGGGGCAGGGCGCCATAAATCTACCTGCTGTGTGTGCGGACGGGGAGGCCGTGTGGTTGTGGGTGGGATGGGGGATGGCGCAAGATTCATTGCTGTTGTTCTGGAAGCCAGGCTTGGGCTCAGACAAAGGCAGAAGAGGGGAGAGCATGTTCCAGCCCAGCGTCTGTCCTGCCCCCGCTTGAGACCCTGTCCGGGTTCCAGGGAGCTGGGGCGCAGGCGACCACCTCAAATCGCAGGGGGCTCCGCAGCCGTACCAGTGCGACCGCAGCGGAGGCGCGAGCAGCCTGCTTTTAAAAGCCTAAAGGACGAATGCCCGGAGTGGGCAGCGCGGTTGTGATGCTGGGCTGTCTCTGTGAGGGACTCTCGGAAAGGTTTCCGAGCCCGAGAGAGGAAGGGCTCTTAGCTTAGGGAGCCTCTGGAGGAAGTTCACTACCTCCAGCGATTGATAGCGCTCTCCTGGGCAGAGAGCCCAAACTCTGCAGCGATTCAACCAAGCCCCAAACCTTCCTCCCACCTCCTCCTGACTCTGAGAGTAGAGCTGACAGCTCCGGAGCAAATCTGCCACCCACTCAAGGTGGCAGCCCAGTGGTGGAGTTGGTTAAACTCTAATTTTTATTTTTAAAAATATGTTTTTGTTGATTTCTAGAGAGAGAAGAAGGGAGAGGGATAGAGATAGAAACACCAATGAGAGAGAAACATCATTGGTCACCTGCCCTCTGCACGCCCCCTACTGGGCATTGAGCCCACAACATGGGCATGTACCCTGACTGGAAGGGAACGGGTAACCTCTTGGTTAATGGGTCCACGCTCAGCCACTGAGCCATACCGCCTAAACTGGGCTAAACTGAAATTTTTAAAATACTCATTGGTGGGAGGACCAGTCTGTGTGCAGTGGGTGATGAACAGCTCCTGAATGAGCGCCCTCAAAAAGAAGAGAGGATCGGGCAATGGCTGCCTCCGCCGGAGCACAGCGCCAACAGACACTCTTCCAGCTTTGGGGGTCGTTTGCCTATTTGAGCCCCACTTCCCACAACCTTTCAGTGGTCTTCCTGCTTGAGGACATCCTCTCCTAACCCTTAGCCCTGGCCCAAATGTCACTTTCCCGGGCCAACCTCCCAGCCCAGCCCAGGTGACAGTCCCGCTGTGCCTCCTGCCTCCCCCCAGTAGCAATATTTGGGGCCTTGAATTCTTTTGTCAACATACTTGCTACTGTCCCAGGAGGACAGAGATGGACCTTCCTGCTTTTTAGGTCTGTCCACACCCCTCCCCCAAATGCCCAGCCAGTAACAGGCACTGGCTAGGGTCTGTGCAACTGGAGCTGCAGACACCTGCTCCCCTCCCCCTTGGTGCCCCAGGTGGAAAGTTGGCAGATGCAGAGGTCACCAATAACCCATTAATCTCCTCCCAGATTAAAGCCATGAAACAAAACACCTTCGTTTATTAGTTTGTTTGCCAGGTCCCCTTTTGCGCCCTCAAATCCAGTCCCAGCCACGGAGGCATATCTCCTGCGAGCTGCCTTTAGGGGCCTAAGCCTAGAGGAGAGAGGAAAAGCTCAGTGTGAAATGGGGATGCAGAGGAGAAGCAGATGCAAGAGGCATTAACCCCTGCAAAGCCACCACCTTTGCGCTCTAACGGGATGGAAAGCAACCCACCAGGTCCCGGCCTCTGCCCTCTCTTTGCCCACCGGAGGCTGGCCCGTTCCTTCCCCAGGCGCCCAGGGCCAACCCAAAGGCAGTCTCTGGGTTCTACGCGCAGGGTGGGGTGCCAGCCCTCCATCCTCCTGTTCTTGTGTGCCAGGCATATTCCTCGAATTCTTAGAGCTCTTATCTGCTTCCCAGAGATCTTGGGGGGCCCGGGAAGCCAGGTGGTGGGGTTCCAGTAGCACCTTGGGGGCAAGTTTCAGTCACCACTGTGCACCAATCCTGCTCTACCTTGGGGGGACTCAAGTACCAGTGGCTGGAAACCTTGAACCATTTCTTGATAAGTTTGCAGTCAAGGCTGCTAGGAGTCCGGGGTGCCAGAAAGTCCAGACCTCCCACTTCCCCTACTGCCCGCTGTTCAGACCCACGAGTCCCTGCGCCACCCCAGCGAGTGGCGTGTAAAATGGCCCAGAAGATGTGCTAGAACTCTAAGCAGATTGGGAAAATTCCTGGGATGCCAGGCCCGCCAGTAGCGTTTCTGAGAGCTCCGATTCTGTGGCGGGACTGTTTATTATTCCCTCTTCCCCCAGAGGTAACTGCATTCAGGCTAGCAGCGTAGGGGAAAGGGCCAGCAAGCCCAGTGAGTAGCCCGCTTGGAGGCTTGTCTGAAGTTTCCTCCCTCCCTTTGGACAGAGGCACCCTCACCCCCACCGCAGAGGCGGCAGCTTTCCCCGCTGCACAACCCAGACACCGGGCTCAGGCTCCTATAGGTTCCCCTTTTTTATTTATTGGCTCAAAAGTCTCATTCCCCAGACCCTAAACAATCTTATGTACAAAATATAGACTTTTCCTGTTTTTTGGGTTTTTTTTTTTGAAATCTCATCAATAAATACAAAAAACGGGGGGAGGGCATATAATTTACCAAAAGTCCTCTCAAAAGACATCATATAATTTACAAACTGATTTTTTCTAAAGGCACGGGCTCTCTGGGTCGCAGGGAGGCGGAGTTTGGGGGGGGGCGCTCCCCAGGGGGAATGTGAGACCAGTTCTCAGTCGGGGCTCCAGCCCCTAGCAGGGCAATGGCTCAGAAAAGTGCACGCGGAGAAGGCAGGGGGTCGCCTTCCTGGATTAAGGCAGAGGGGGCGGCTGGACAACCGGGACTGGCTAGGGAGAGAGGAGGGGAGCAGAGACCAGAGGCTGGATGAAACCGCGTCGGGGAGGAGCGTGAGAGAGAGTCATCGGTTTGACAGAGTGAGGGGAGGGTGGCAGGAGACGGGGTGGGGGGCGCGTTTCCCCTGTGTAGTGCTACCATTCTCAGCTTTTTTTTTGCACGAGATTTTGGGGTGACGGCAGGGAGGGGGCCTGAAACGCGCGACCGGTACCGCCCACTTGCGCAGGCAGCGGCAGGATGTCTCGGTTGGCGCGGCGCTGAGGACGCGGGACTGAACTGGCCGGCCACCCCGCGGGCGTCTAGGCCCACCAGCGGCAGGAGGAGCAAGTCCGCGCGAGGGCCGCCGCCACCTCCTCCACCTCCGCCCTCGCCCCCAGCACCCATCGCCCGGCGGCCGGCAGGCCATCAGAGAAAGTCTGCAAAGGCCAGGGCGCCCGGCAGGCAGGCAGGGGAGGCCGCCTGCAACCCGGGGCGCTCCTCCAGCGAGGCGGCGGGGCTCAGGCTGCCCGCCTGGGAGACCGGGGAGTAGAGGGAGCCCCAGTCTCCCCGGGAGCCGCCGTCCGGGCTGCCCAGCTCCTCGCAGGGAGGCTCCAGACCGTACAGGCTGTGGTCCGCTAGGCGCAGCGTCTGCGTCAGCGCCCAGATGTAGTTGTGCGCGAAGCGCAGCGTCTCGATCTTGGTGAGCTTCGCGTCGTCGGGAAAGGTGGGCAGGACCCCGCGCAGCGCGTCCAGGGCCGAATTGAGGTTGTGCATCCGATTGCGCTCGCGGTCGTTGGCCTTCTTGCGTCGGCTCCGCCGCTGCTTGCTCAGCGCCAGCTCGCTCTTGGGCCGGCTGCGTCCCCCACGCCGCGCCCGGAGCTTCCTGGCGGCCCCTCGGCAGCCGCTCCCTTCGGCCTCGACGGGGTCCCCTGACACGCGAGTGGGGCTGGGCGGAGCGGACACGATGCAGGGCTCTTGCGCGCTCGAGGCGACCGGGAAGGGCGGCTCCGCGTCGGGGGTCACTTGGACAGCCGGCGCACCCGAGGGCTGAGGCGCCATCCTGCGGCAGGGGAAGAAGGACGGGTAAGCGTGGTCGGACCCCCAGGGGCAGGCAGCTTCCCATCCCGGGCCACGTGTGTGTGTGTGTGTGTGGCCGGGGGGGGGGGGCACGAGAAAGAGCCACCCCCACCTGATCAGAGAACCCGTTCCCCTTCGAATGCGCAGAGTTACCAGGTGTTACCTTGGTCTCATGTGCAAAAGGCTGGGAGCGGCGGGCTTCGAGCGGCAGGAGCTGAGCTGGCCTTGCAAACGCCAAGTTCAGCGGAGCTGCCGAGCCGCCGCCCGGGAGTCCCCCAGCCCTAAGGAGGGAAGCGCCAGTGGCCCCGGCCTCTGCTCTTGGGGCGCGCCTGCCCGGGCGGGTGTCCGGAGCCGCGAGGCGTGTGCCCCTGGCGCGCTTTATCTGCTCGGCCGCGGCCAGGAGCGTGCCTGCCCCGCCGCTGCCCGCGCCGCCGGCCAATCAGGGCGGCGACCCGGGGCCGCCACGCGAGCCCGCTCCTCCCCCGCGGGGCACAGCTGGATTCCGGACAAAGACTGGAGGGGGGGGGGGGGGGTTGGGGAGTAGGGGACGGGGGAGGGGGGAGGGGAGCGAGGCTCTGTTTGCTTTCTCCCCGCCGGCTCTGTCCCAGCAACTCTCGGATCCTCAAAGAGCCCCACCCGGCGGGACGAGCCTCGTCTGGCTCCCGGCTGCGCCCCAGACGCCTCCCTAGGATCCTCTTTCCTGGCCCCTGTCCAGAGCCGCTCCTGGTCCCTGGAGGGGCTTTGCGGAGCTCAGGGTGGGCGAATCTCGTGTGTGACCCGTGGGAAAACGGCCGCAGAGAGGGCGCGCTTGCCCCAAACCTCAGGGCAGGAGGTGGAACGGGAGCCAGATGCCCGGGCGCCCGGCGTGGACAAGTGTCCCCTGACTCCCGTGCCACCCTGCCCCCTGCTCTGCGGGCCAGGCCTCACCGCCCCTCTTCACTTCGGGAGGGGACCCGGCGGCTACCCAGGCGGGTGTCCCTGCCACTTGGGGACTTTTGCCTGGGGGTGCCCCAAACTTCTCAGACGACTCCCCTCCCCCCACTCCCATCCTAAATCTAGGACATGTGGATGGCATCTCAGGGGCAGAGGTGGCTATGGGGGACCCCACCCCACCCCAGAGGACGTCCTACGGCCACCAATCGCGGGCAGCGCCCCAGCTTTCGGCCCAGGGCCTGAGGGCAGAGCTCGGTGCGAAGGGTGGGGAGAGGCCAGGAGCTCACAGCAGCCCCGGTGTTAGACGCGGCGGAGAGCTGGTGCTCAGGGCAGCGGGCCACGCTCTGCACTCAGGCCTCCTGCCCGTCACTGGCGCGCAGGGCCGGGCCCCTGGTCCAGCTTCTGCCGCCCACGCAGGCCGGGGCCAGGCGGTGAGCACGGGGCAGGGACCCTCGCCTCCTGGAAATCTCTCTCAAGCGAGTCAGAACGCATCATCCCTCCCTTGTTCCCCGCCCCTCCCCTTTGTCCCGCCTCGGACACCCCGTGGTCTTCTGCTTCCGGTCACTCCGGGTGAGGGGTCGCGGCTTCCGCTCCTCTCTGCTGACCGCGAGGTGCCCGGGTGCGCGGGGCGGAGGCTGGGGAGGCTGGGTCTCGGGTTAAGCCTCTGCTGGCGACGGAGGCGTCACGTTCTAGCAGCTCCAGGGACCCTGAGCCTCCCGGAAGATGGCGGAGGGGAGCAGGACCGGTCGGGGAACTGGGGGGATGGGTGAGGGAAGAGGTAAGTTTGTGTATCTGCCCCGGTGAGGGCCTCTGGCACGCGCACGGGCGGCTGGGGGTTGCCTCCCAGGCAGAGAGAGGCTGATCTGCTGGGGCGCCAGGGAGGGGGACTGCAGGACGGTATGCGGATGGGGGCGCTGGCCTGGGTCCCAGCTGCTGCGCTGTGGGCGCAGGCTCCTTCCCGCGCTGTCTGGGAGGGAGGTGTAGCGGGGGGGTCAGGCTCAGGGACCCCATGGAGATTCTGCTATTTCCCTTTAGGTCAGAGCTTGCTCCAAATTGCCTTCCAGTAATAAGAACGAGAACCTGAGATCCATTTTACAGATGGAAAAATTAAGGCCCAGGAAGGAGAAGTGAGTCAACCAAGGTCACAGAGGAATTTCTAGCAGAGCCACAGAACGCAGGTCCTAAGACTCCTCGTCCCAGATTCTCCCTTGCACCTGCTGCCTCTCCTCAACTGGGGGAAAATAGCCTTTCAAATCAGACATCCCAACATGTAGGAAGTAGGAGAATTCGTGGGTCTGTGAGTTACTACAGGGTCAGAATACAAAAGGGGTAGTGGCCCCATCTCCTAGTGCCAAGGGGAGCCAGTGTCCCCTCCTGTTCCATCTCTTTACTCTCCTGACCCATACCCCAGCCTTGCTTGATTTCCATCCTGCAAACCAGGAACAGAGAGAGGAAACCCAAAGGACGGCTTTCCTAGCTCTCTGGGACCCAGCCCCATTCGGTGGAGGGAACCCGGGCCATAAGGGATCAAAGCACCTCTCCGTGTCCCTGGAGGCCTGGGGAGCAGCCCACAACCCGGACTTCATGTAGTGGTGGCTCTCAGATGGAAGCAAAGGTGGGACTCGCCTCGGCTCCCTCTTGCCTCCAGCGGCTACTGGGTGCTGGAGACAGCCTCCGGGCGAGCTGCTGGCACCAGGAGAGATTTTGGGGAACATTCTTGTGGGGAGGAGTTCTAGGGCCGGCCTGGAATCCTTATCTAGCCTCCCCAGAGCCCCTTCCACTCAAGGTTCTCCAAGGCTTCCAGGCCGCCGCCACTTCCCAGCTTTGCGCAAAAAACAAGGTGAGGAGCGCGCAGCGGCCGGGGCAGCTGTCATCTTGCAGCGGGAGAGAACTCTCCGCTTCCCTTCTTCTGGCCAGGAGGGCGAGGCTGGAGGTTGAGGAGTCCTAGGGGATTAGACATTGAGGATTTACGCCCTCCCTTTCTGCCACAGAGGAAGCACAGACCCCTCCCCAAAGTTAATTCCTGTGCTTTTGCCGGCTGGCGCGCAGTCCGTGACAACTCAGTGCGCGCTGGCGGTATTTGTGCGCCAGCTCTTCCAGCGGGGGAGCAGAGCCTGTTCCTGAAGACCCTGGCCAGCGACCACCTCTGGTGCCCCCAGGACCCCCGTGCCCACCGACTCTTTGAGGTCCGGGCTTGCCTGAGGCTGAGGGGCCCCAGGAGAGAGGCGACAGCCTGACGCCTAGAGACAGTGGGCAGCTTGGAAAAGAAGGAAGGCAGTGGTCCACCCTTTTGCCTTCCTATCTGCAGGGGGAGTCTTAGCAGTGCCTGGGGGCTCCTGGAGAAAGGAGTGGGAGGGAGGAGGGCCACAGGAGGCTGAATAGCTAATGGCTTGACAGAGGAGGGGGCTTCTTTCTCTCGCCTTCACTCGGCACTGAAAGAGTAGAAGACAAAAATCTGGTGAGCGAGCTGCCCGGGCCGAGACTGGCCACTTCAAACAGCCCTTCAAACAAAAGGGGACGACGAAAAGAAAGCCCCACCTGTCTCCAGTGTTTGCTAAAATAATAATAAATAGATTTCGTTTAATAAATAATTACAAGAGATTGTAAAGTGGAGTGCTTTGGAAAACATCTACCACGGGAGTCCCGCAGCCAGCCGTCACCTGCTCCCAAGGCGGGCAACTTTATTGTTAAGCCACCCCCCAACTAGTTCGCCTCTGATAAACTCTCCCTGGTTTTCACAATGACTGTTTACTCATAGTTAGCACAATATTACCTTTGCCGTGATAAACCCAGAGGGGGGAGACCTGGCCCCTGGCCCCTGGGCACACCTGTCCCAGAAGCTGACACATGCATTTGGCACCGAGCGGGCCTCCCCCCGGGGGCCGTGTACATTGGCCCAATTGCCACCCATTTATAACAGGTTGGCTGCAAGGCCTATCTCGGTCCTATTTGTCTTCTTTTATTGAAAACATATGGTCTCCAGGGGCTCACCAGCCCCATATTTCATCTGCCGGGAGCTGGGGCGCTTCCGCAGGCTGGTGCTGCCGGCCGCTGCTCCCCACCCAACGGCTGCTGCCTGCTGCGCCAGCTGAGGGGACGCGCAGGTGGGGTGGGGAGAGATAAGGCCGGCTCCTCATTCACTTTGGGAAAGAGCCTTTCCCTCAGAGACTCCCCCTCCCCGGGCTCAGGGACCTCCTGCGCTCTTGAGTGGGTGGCTGGTTCTCTTTCTTGGGTAGGTGAGAGGGCGCCATATGCCACCCCCAAGGGCGCACAAGGAAGCTCTGGCCCAGGGAGTTCTCCAACAAAGGGAGGAGAGGGCCCGGGACCCCAGGAGCGCCTGAGGTCTTTATTTCCAGACCCCCCTCCCTGCCCAGGGCCGCCTCCCCCCCCTGCGTCCGAAGCTGGCGCACTGTGCCTGGAAACAAAGTGTCCACATTGTCCCCGCCGCTGATGCAGACAGTGAATGCGTGAAAAGGTGCATTGCGCACCAAGACACCTGTTGAAGCGGCGCCTCTTCTCAGCGCCTCTTTCTGCTCTGCCCTCTGTCAGGAGGGAGTGGGGGGAGGAGGGAGAGATACAGTGATTTGTGGCGACATATGTTGAGCAGATCGGTGTGTACTCTTCACAGGGACACAGGCACCCTTGCTCCCATACACGCCCGCGAGAAGGAGCAGCTGCTCTCCTCACCTTCTCCCGACATAATACCTGGGCCAGGCACTTTGGCGTCGCCTTTTGAGACCCCAGCTCTCTCCCACCCCCTCGGCTTTCCGCCCCCGCCCGCTGCTCCAATCTTGGCAGCTTTGCTGTAGGACTTTATTGTCGAATTTAACAGATGCACGTTTGTTCCCAGCGCCAGCTTCACACACACACACACACACACACACACAGAAAGTGCGGCTGATGACACAGATGCGGAGCGCGAAATGTCCATATGCCCGGCTGTGCGCGCTCAGGCCGGGGAAACAGACGGCGGAGAGGCCGCCTTCAGCCGCCTCCAACTTTGCGCATCCTTTCGGCGCGTGGCGCGCGTGGCGCCGGGAAAGCGCATG